CCCGCGCCTGGCGCCTGGCGCCCGGCGCCGGCACAGCGACGGGGACGCGGGAGCCGGGCGCTCCTGTGCGTGTGCATGTTTCATGGGCAGTGCCGCCGTCGGGTGCGCGCGGGCCGGGCGCTGCGGCTGCAGAACCGGTGGTTACCTGTATTTCAGAGAGTGGTGGAGGCTCGATAAATGTTTGCAGAAGGAATAAAAAAAGTTAACAGCTTTCACTTAAAGAGTATAAGGGGCGACTCCAGGCATTTAAGACCGGGGGCTCAACCTTAAAGAGCTGCACCCAGACAAGCCTGAACCTTGCTCCAGCGTTTCACCAGAAGCTTTCAAGGAAAAATTACCGGGGCTGGAGACCATGGCCAATTTTTGGCGGCAGTGAGCTTGGGATAGATTTCATTAGCAGCTTCTTCGGTGAACTCTTAACTCTGTTACAATAAAAGTAATGGGTCCATTGCTGTTGAAACCTTGCCGCGTTCCCTCTGACGCTGTCGCTTGGCCAAGAGTGGGACCTGGGAAGCCCCTCCCGCTCCCGCGTTTTCTGCTTGGCCAAATACAGGAAGCTGGACAGTAATACCGCATCTGCTCAGAGACGTTTGTGCTGTTTTATCACACTTGTTTAACAGTGTTTTAAGAAAACGCCATATAACCTCACATCTAAAAATTAAAGCAGTACCATCCTCAGCTTAAGCGTACATAGTGCTTGTAATATTAAAAAATTGCTTAAACGTGGGAAATTGTATAATTGGCTGTATTCAATTATGAAGAAATTCTGTGTTCTCAGTTCAGTCAATAGTAATTGTCATTGGTTTCAACATTTTCCAATACACTTTTCTACACATCCTTTTTGATATTTACAAAAGCACGGGGTTAGTAGGTCTCACTGAAAGCAACAGGGCAGAATAGATCTGCTCTAGAGTGAGATGTGTCCACTTCAAATATTGGATGAGTTGTTTAAATGTCTCTGATCCTTAGCTGCTGATCTCTGAAGTGGACATAAGAAAACCACTCAGTAAGGCAGTAATAGGGATCAAATGAAATAATGTTCAGCTGAGTTAAGTGTTTAGCTTGACGGTGTTAAAGGACTGCACACGCTCCTAGATAGTGTAAATGGCAAGCCCTGAACCCACAAAGTACATGCTCATCACACTTGATACCTCTGTGATTGTGATCCCTCTGACCTGGTGTCTGGGCTTGTATATTCTTGTCTAGATAGTCTGTAACATTACACCTTAATGTTTTGTGATCATTGGGTGATAATAATACTACATTGTCATAGGATTATATTTTGAAGCAGTGAAGCTGTTTCTGCATTCAGCCATTCAGTGACCTTGTTAGTACTTAGCAATGGTCCCTTGTCTTCTGCTGCACTCCCCCTCACCCCCCAATTTCCATACCCATGACACACATTTGCATAGGTTTATACAATCATTCTGAGTATATTTATCTGTCTACTAAAAATGTTTTTTTTTGGTGGGGGTGGGGTGGGCTATAGCTAGGTAAAGTCTTCCTAGGATTTGACAAATTGAATCTGATGAAATTCAAATATTTCAAGAGTTTTCAAGGGATAGAATGCATTTTTCAAGTGACAGATTCCTAGCATCTTGTTTTTGCCTGAATTAACCCTTTCATGTGTTAGATGCTCCTGTCACTTAGTCTCTGTCTGGCTGTCTCTTGCTTCATGGGGTACACAGGGATGAGGCTAAATTAAAGGAGCAACTCTATGGGGAGGAAGAGGTGGGTGTTAGGCAATATAATTGACGGGCCTAACTCTGATCTGGCTCTTCCACCTGGTTTCCAACCTTCACACAGCACTACCTAATACCCACTAGGTCCTCTCACAGGAAGGCACACTCTGGGGTGATAGGGATTCAGGGCCTTCCTGAAAAACACATATCTGAAGCTCTTGAAGGAAGTCTTGTTCTCTGAAGAATGTTGCCACTCTACTTGGGACTCAGGTTGACAATTCTGCTGTCAGCACGTAATGTTCCTCACTTGGGATTGGCCACAGCTTCCTCCCCAGTGGAAACTGCTTCAAGGATTATGAGGCCTTGTGGTATGCAGTCTTGAGAGCCAGGGCATGGGATGGTTATGGAACAGTCCCCTCAGAGCTGTGTGGAAACATTAAATCAGGGTTTGTTAGGGATGGGCAGAGTTGATTTCTCCATTACTCTGACCTTGGACACTGATGATTTTGTGTAGTGAGATATGGGCAGACATAAGTCCAAACATGAGCGGTGGTGTGAATTCTGAGACTAGGCTTTAAGAAGGAGCCCATGTTCCACTCTCTCTGTGCCTATGTGGTTCACCAGGAGAGGACCAGACCCAGATTGCTATTTCCTCTTCAGCATAGGCTCTTGAACGACAAACTTAAGAGAAAGAAGCTGACTCAAAACTCCAGCCTAGCCAAGCCCAGGTTTTTGGATATCCACAATGCTTTATATAAAACATAAACACTTGCTTTGTTAAGTCATTGAGAGGCTGTATTTTATGCTTTGCTATTGCTGTCAAACTAATACACCTGCACAAGAAAAATTGTCCCACATGCCATAAACAAATCTCTTTCTGCTCTGAAAATGCCACATACAAAGAACATCAATATTCTTTGACTATTCTTAGTGTTGCATTCCTAGAAACAGAATAATTTGGGTTTTCCTTCTTTTTTTTTTCTTTCTCTCTACCTTGTGTTATTTGCAAAGGTTAGTTACTTGATTTATATCAGAATACAGTGTTGTTCTACACTTGAGAGTTTTTTTCATTTATGGAAGATAAACCTTAAGGTTTGACTTTTGTCGTTGAGCAAAAACTACCTTACCCTCTAGAGAGAAACATATTCTTATATTAATATTCAAGATACTTTATTCTCTTTGAGTCAGCATGTTACTGAAGCTGAAATTGGTCTCCTCTGGGTTTTTAAAAAAATGTTAACACTTTCAGTGTATGGAACAAATCTTCATCTATCATATGGACTGATGCTTGTCATTGACACTGCTGTCTGAGACAGTATCAGAACACATGGCACTCCAGGCTGTCTAAAACATTGGACTCCAAAGGGATAACAGTTTCTGATTTGCAACCGATCTTCAAATTAAGTCTACTATTATTAACACAAGGTGGAAGTATCTATCAAATTCTCCGTATGTCAGATTGTCTATGGTTGTTTTCCTGCTTCCTTATTGAAATAGGTGTTTTGTCAGATTGAAACTGAAAGCCTGCAATATGAAAACTCAGTGTTGTATTGTTTCTGAGTTTCGGTAAACTGTTGAATGTATGGAGTACATATGGAATCAAATCATTTTGGTTTTGAATTTAATATTTTAATATGTTAAAATATCATGGTGCCAGATGTTCCTAAAACTATTTAAAGAAAAAACTGTAAAGCATTTTCCCTCAGGGTTGGTGAGCTAAAATTGTAGGTTCCAGCAACCAAAAAGATATTTTCATTCATAAGGACTTTACTCTCAACAGCATAACTGTGAAAAATGACAATAAACATTTCTGCAATTGGCATCTGTTCTTATAGATTGGTGCAAAGGTCATATTATGCCCCTTTCTCCCCAAAACCATGTTTCTGCTCCTCATTGAGCACATTTGGCATGTTTCTTCCTCAATACCTTATGCTCCACTGTAATATTCAGGCTGAATTGTTAAAATATATTTCAGAATCTTATTTATTTTATAAAGTTGACTATTCAGCCATATGACAATTGAAATAGCCTAAGCCCATCAATATAATATTTTTTAGTTGTTGTTGGTTTTTAATCTACTTCAAAATTTAACCTTCACAGACAAAGCTGGGAGATAAAGCTGCCACTGAAGGAAGAAGAAATACACTGTGGAGTAATCAGCATATAATCACTCAGGCTTTGTGTACTGAACATGAATGCCGTTGCCACTACTATTTATAGCCAGTGTTTCTTGGTAGGTTATTTTTGTGGTTCGAAATTCAGTTTCCTTATCTATTTCATCAGAATAAAAATAGTTCATAGGATGAATGGATAACTTGACAGTTATTCATACCCATTTCATGCTGGCATTGTAAGCAGCCTATGACCATGAACAAAACTTATAGCATAAAGAAATCCCTTTCTGGGAGGCAGACAAGAAACAAGTAAAAAACTGAGATATTGGTTAGCTCATTCAGTGATAGGTGCTAAGAAGAGGACAGCAAAAATAGGAAGTCTGGAAATCTGCAGGAGCAGATTGTATAGCCATCAGGAAACACTTGAGAAACTTTTAGGCAAAGACCTGAAAGAGTTGAGGGGAACCAAAGAGGAGAAGATCATGGTGAAGAGTCTTTAGGGAAGAAAAAAAGAAAACAGCAAACACAAAGGTGTAGAGATGTGTTTCAACAACATGCCAGGAGAAAAGCAGAAGGAACCATAGGTTCCCTAGCCACCCCCAACCCCTCATCAATCTAGGAGGGACAGATGACAGGGAAGCACTTTTTGTTTCGGTTTTCTACTGAGATACTATGTTTATCTGAGACATGCTACATACCCCAATACAGATTTTATATATTTCTGGATAAATCTGAGCATGGCTTAAGAGAGTGATTCCTGGATCGAAAACATAAGAGGGTGTGACTGTGGTGGAGAGGGGGTGGTGGGCAGGGCACGATGGCAGGGAGTCCTGGGAAGCTGTATAGTCAGATGAACTGAGAGTCACTCACAGCGAGTTTTGAAGGACAAGGAAGGAGAAAAGGAAGGAGGACCAGTCCTGGCAGGAGTGCAGTCAACAGTGAGAGGAGTCCCGGGGAGCTATGTCCTATAGTAGATCCTCGAGAACCTTCCTGATCAACTTTGGCTGCACACAGTAGTTCCCTAGGGGAACTTGAAAGATACTGGCCCTGGGGTCCCAATTTCAGAGAGTCTCATTAGTTTTGCTTTGGGATGTGGCCTGAGTTATCAGGAGTTACAACAGCTCCCTGGAGAGTCCACTTCATAATTTAAGTCATCATTTAAAACCTCAAGTGCATAGTAAAAAGAAGGAACAATTTAGCACCATTCAGAATGTGGAGACATATACATAAAACTATATTTTTATGATATTAACACAATTCCTGATACAGTCAGCTGTTGATTTCCTTCATTAGACCCTTGTGCTTAAATTTTGTCTTAACTAAGATACGGTATTTGTATTGCAGAATGGGATTGACATTAAATGAATAAGAATATTTCAGTGGAATTCTTTACTTTTTGTTTGAAGTAACATTGCAACATAAGAAATAATAAATATTCATATATGCATTGTTGAGCAACAACATGGATGGAATTATTTATTCCATGCCAGATAATACTTTCATATCACTCCTCCATCTTTCCATGGTTGCCCCAAAGTTCTGTCTAGAGATTATTCATTCATTCCTTATCACTTGTGCTTTTTAAATGAGATATTGATGAGGTCAAATTGAGTAATAGAAGGTTCATTTCTTCTCATAATTAGTTTTCAAATCAAGCAGATTTGTCTGCATAGCTAACTATCATATGGGAACTACAGTCTAGTTTTTGTTTGGAATGAATGCACAATGCACGAATTTAATTTATAAAATGCTATTATATTCAAACTGTGGAATAATGAAGGTAACAGATGACTTATTAATATATGACTAATTGGGGCAAACAAATATATTTTCACATGCTTCACTTAATCTGATGTTAATAAACATCATGAACTCAATCTCTATTTAAGAAAAAAACAATTCAAAGTCCTAAGAAATTTGTAAAGACAGTACTTCCTAAAGCTAGTGTTTAAGAAATGTCCTGGACAAGGAAATTATCACACAAATTATGTCATTGACTTCTATTTGATGCCTTTAGTTTCACAGTGAAATAGCATATCTTTCTTAACAAATATTTTTGGAACAGCTTATACTGTATTTAATTTGGAAAAGTTACTTATAAAATCTATTGTTTGAAAACAGTATTTAGAATAATTTAAGTGAGTTTTCACTGGTTACTGTGCAAATAAAATATAAATTCTTTTAAAAAGTAGAGAAATTTCATAGCAGGAGTATAAAGGACCCCCGGGGGGGGGGAATAATAACAATTATGAACAACTATATACCAGAGACATTTTACAGGGGTGGAGTGGGGAATGGGGTCAAAAAGGGGGCAGGGGAGGGAGAAGTGCAGTGGACTATGGTGATGGCACATGGGTTGATGGCACACGGGTGACTTGGTGATGGGAATCCTGTGGGGATTACAACTGAGATGGAAAAAGGCACAAAATGATGTAAAAATAAACTGTTATAATTAAAAAAAAAGTAGAGAAATTTGATATGTTCATTCTTCACATCCAAGAGAGTCACACATTTCAGATTTCCTATCAAGGAGATATTTATTTAGTAATATGTATGGTATGTGTAGCAGTCCATATAGTAAGGTAGCACTATAGCAATGTTCAAACAAAAAGTGGTAGTTATTTACATTAGTGGTTTCTGATATCTTTAAATAAACTAAATTTTGGAATACTTTTAGATTTATGGAAAAGTTGCAAAGATAGTGCAAAGTGCTCTTGGAACTTTGACACCTCGTTTCTCCATTGATAACCTCTTGTATTGTTGTCACACACTGGTGCAAACTAACAACTAAACTCCAGCCTTGGATTCACTCACTCCAGGATCCAACCCAGGTCCCACAGTGTGTTTAGCTGTCCTGTTACCTGGTCACTCCTTGTCTCTAACAGCTACTCTTGATACCTGGTGGCAGGAGACCCGCTGCCAAGCCCTGCTACCCACATACATTACTAAATTCTGTCTGGGTTCTTCACCCATACATTGCAAGCCTGCTTGGACTCAGGAGACAACAACAAAGATTTAACAAACAGGATAAATAAGAGTTACTGAGGCCAATAATGGCCGTTTACTTTACCCAAAGTGATATCCAATACTGTCCTACACAAAAACCATTATAATGGCGTCTTCCCGCCACTGAAGATGGGCAGCTCCTCTCCTGAACAACAGGCCACCTATCCAAGATCTTCCTGCCTCTGCTGACCTGGGGCACACAGCAGCCAGACTCCAGGCCAGGTTCTAACTCCAGGAGACAACAGAAAGCCCAGTAGGAGATGCTTCTTGAGCTGAAGGATGATCCAGATGAGCGACACTCAGGACAGCAGCCACGCCACCAAATGACCTGACAAAAGACTTCACTCATGCTGCCAGGTCAGGCTGTAACCGTAGCAACACCAGGAACCATTTCAGTCGCTCAGCTCAGCTACTTGCAAAGTCTCTTCCTTTGACCTCCACCTGTAGAGATCCCCAGTGGCCTTCTCCAAGATCAGCCTGGTCCCGGGGCTCAAATCTGCTGTGCCCCAAATGCTGAAACAACTCTAAACCTGAACTCTGGAGCCTAGATTTTTTTCTCCTGCTCCTTTATTTCCTACACTCCAGTTTTTTCTCCAACAAATCGCCTCCTCAATATCCCATACTTTTTAACATTATCCCTAAGGCTATTTGTCTTTAGTGCAACACCTTCAGGGAGGGACACCACCTGCAAATCCTTAGCTTCAGCTACCAGGTTACATTCCACACTTTGAGTTTTTAATCACCACATCTATGGTGAATAGTGGTCAAGCCCTTTCCATTGGCATAATTACAAACAACATTATGATACAACACAATGGCACAGCTACAGTATAACTCTATTTAATTTTTTCTCATCTCTACAGACTTATGTTACCATACTGCATCTACCGCTAAATCACCCACAAACTCCCCCACCAAGGCCCTTTGGGCCTCACCCACTTAACTCCCCCTTTTCAAAACTCTCCTTCTGGTAGCCTTTATTACTTCTAGTATCTCAAACTGTTTTGCAGGTATAGTATTCTTGGTTCACAGTATTTATATTTAAGTATTGTGAATGCATTATTACTTTCTGGCCATGCTTGTAAGAGCTGATGAAAAGTCTCAAATAAACCTGCTAGGAATACCTTTATAAGTTAGCAGCTTTTCTCCCTAGTTAATTTCAATATTATCTTTTTTAAAATTATTGATAATTGCACTGTTATGTGTCTTGTTGTAGGCTTCACTGCATTTAGGTAACCAGGTTTTCTTTTACCTTCATGGGTTTTTGTATAAATACCTTCCCTAACTTTAGGATTTTTTTCCTCTATCTCTTCTTTGTTTATGCTGTTTCCCTCTCTCTTCCCCTTTTGGCATGTCTGTTATATTTAGGTTCCTGTTCTTAATGGAGTCAGGTAGTTCCTGAAGTGCTTCCTCATGTTTTTTATATGGGTCCTTTCTGCATTTTTATCTTCAGTGTCACTGATTCAATACACCATTTATTTAATTTTACTGCCACAACTTCCTCTAGAAATTTTTATCTTGTTTGTTGAGCTTTTTACAACTTGGATATGTCTTTTTTTTTTTT